TCTGTCTGTCTATCTATCTATCTATCTATCTATCATAAGCAATATGATATTAATAACAATAATTTCAAGAATTCAAATGATCACAATTATTATTTGAACTGTTTTTATTTGCAGAATATCCTGTTGGAATATCTGTACGCAATGATTAGCTCAAAAGAGGAGGATTCACTAAGATTTCTGCAGTATGTTGAAGACTATGGACTAAGAGCATATAACAGATTGATCTCACAGAACATCGTGTGGAATGAGAAAAACTGGATTAAGTTTCAGGGGAAAATCGACAAGAAACAAAAACAGGAAGAAGCCATTAAAAGGTAAGAGGGAAAATATGTTAGCAATGCATAAATAAAAACTAAAATAAAATAATAAATTGCACATATTGCAAACACCCTCATTTAAGACTGTGGATATAGGGATGCTCACTCAAGCTGACATAAAACATTATAAGCATTCACTCATTTTCACACACTCTTAACTAAATGTATATAAATGACAGCCACAAAAAGAAACAACCCTTAATATTGTTACCCATGATGCTCCCTCACACCGAATCCCTCTGGCAATAACAGAAAAGACCATGTCCCCTTCTACATGTGGATGTTGATTATTTTTTTATTTTTTTTACATACTTGGAGTTTGGACATGTTCATAATCTCTTTCATCCTTGTGACTTGAAAGGTTATGTGCAAGACACACACCCAAAGATAATTTTGAATAATGTTGCACAACATTTGTATCAGTTTCATACTAGTCATTAGTTTTTCATCTTAATGTAATTTCAGTCATAGAAAAGTGATTGTAGTCATGAGCACAGGCTTCAGATGGATTTTGACACTTTTTAAAACAGTGGCCTTGCTAACATAAATGCAGCTGTAATTGTGTCAGTGGGCAATCTACTGTTGAGTGCTGCCCCTGACCCGTTGGCATAGACTGTATTGATCACATTTGCAACAGTCTTCTAAGTGCAATAAAAGCTAAATGCTCTCAGAGACCTCTTTCATGCATATGGCTCAGGCCTCAACTACTTAAAAAAAACATTTATTTCAACTTTGACATGATGTAAGTTTGTGCTTACCAGGAATGCTGGCTAATCTTAATACACCAGTTACTGGGAGGCATTACATACATGGCAAAACATGCACAGCAGTCACTTTTGTTTAGCTTTTAATGATTTAAGCTTTAAAGCAACATAGAACCTAATGATAACAAGATAAGTTTGGTCCAGACTTTTTAATAATTTACAAACCAGAAAAAAATGCTGTTTATAATAAATAAATTTGTGGTGAATTAGAACAATTTATTGTGGTTGTCATCCAAACAAATATGGTAATGGGAAAATATTTTAATTGTTTTTGATTTAGCAAGAAATGTACCCAAAAGAGCTTAGGTGTCCCACATTACCATTCACTTTTTAGGTCATCTCAACATCTTTTGACAAATTGATCACTGAATCTTCATAATGCTAACTATATCTGTTGATGTCTGCTCACAGTCAAAATCTCCTATATGAGGTGCAGTTGATATCCCATCAGCACTATACACAAGATAGCAGATAGCAGTGTTTGATTAAACAGTCTTCAGTGAGACCCTGATTTACATAAGACACTTCAGTGTTGCAGCTACTTGAAGCTGAAGAGCTTTCACCAAAATATTACCACAAGTTAAAGGGTACAGAAGAGTATTTATTCTCTGATATTGGTCTACTTCTGGTCTGCCTATCAGCTGTTGCTGATATAAAATATTCATACTCAGTGGCTGGAGAATGAGGGCTAGAAAAAAGGAATAGCTGGATTTTTCATGAGGCATATAAGTGGGTCAATGAGACGACCCATTTTTACAGGAACTGATGGGAAGAGAGAGAGAAAATCTGGTAGAAAGAGATTACGTGTGAAGAGTGTGCTAGCAGGAGTTGTGTTCTGCCTGGTGACAGCTGGAGCAGTCACCGACCAATCAGATTGCTTGCACATGCACATTGCTCTGAGTGAGGTGGGTCTTCTTTTATTCTCTGCTGTTCTGTTGGAGCTTTCACTGTCTCTGGGAGTGCACAGAAACTTTGTCCATACACAGCCTCACATGTGTATGCTGTAAACACTGAAGAGCATGGACACCTCAACGATGCTGTAAACACTGAAGAGCATGGACAGAAATAAAAGGAAATAATGAAGTTTATATGATACTATACAGGACTGAAAAATAGTTTAATGTTTAAGATCAGTGGTGTCAAACTCAATTCCTGGAGGGCAGAGTTTCGTTCCAACACACATACAATTTAGTTTTCAAATAAGCTTGAAGAACTTAATTAGTTGGATCAGGCGTGTTTAATTAGGGTTGAATCTAAACTCTGCAGGGCTCCGGCCCTCCAAGAATTAAACTGTTCTGTGTATGACATTTTAATATAAAGAATTACTTTTCTTTGTTTTTCAATATTTTGAAAAGGTTGTAAGAATGCTGTCCAGCAGCTTCTAATATATTGGAAGTAATGACATAAATACTTTTACTGGGCAAGGGCAATGTAATAAATAATAGACCTGTCTGATACAGTCTGTTTAATTGGCCATATTTAAAGGCGATGTAATTTCTGGTTTTCTGAATATGTCATTTTAAAATGAAAGAAAATAAATAAATAATAAAAACATTTGCAGCATAATTACAATTCTTGTTTTATGGTTGCTTTATTCAGAATTTCAAAAAGATTGTGTAACACTACACTGAATGCTCTGCTAAGGAGAAGCATAGTGTCAGTTACATTTAACAGTAGGAAACGTGTCTGCGCCAAGTAGGAACAGGCACATGCAGTGCTGACAGCTGCTCCAACATCACCGTTCCTCTTCCTAATGAGAGCTTAATGCCTGATCCGTCACGTGGGTGTGTGTGTTTAGATGGTTTTGTGTATGCGCGAGTGTGTGAGGAGACTGGTTACACAGAGCAGCAGCAGATTTTGTGTTTGGTTTCTGTGGGTACCCTGTTGCTAGGCAAATTAAGCCCCTGACCAATGAACCCTTCTCTCAAGACTCCTGCTGTTTAGCAGCTGTGTGTGCAGGAGTTACCAAGTTACACAAACATATGCACAGGTAATAAATGAACGCACCTTGAACTTTGGCAACACAAACAGCAATTGCATCTTTAACTCAAACAACTAATGGCTAGTGCAGTCATTCTCATTTGTGGAACAGAAATCTTTAGGGGAGAGAGAAAGAAAGACAGAGAGATAGAGACATTAACAGGGACCTTTGCTCTAGCACATCAAAAGAACCAAAGTAGATTATGACTACAGTGTGCAATAGAAACATAGATATAGTAATGAAAAAATGGCAAGTGTGGTTTTAACAGTTCATGAGAGACTAAAGAAGTTCAAGGATATTTTCCAGTGTAGTCCATAGAACATGTCATATTTTTGTAAAATTGTATCCCTGTTATCATTGCATCAAACCCTGGAAAATAAGCTCCATGTTATTTAAGCTTTAATTAAAAAAAAAAATTAATGAATTAAAACAAATAAAAAATAAATTGTGTGTGATAAAAATATATTCCTGCAGCCTTTTACTGTGTCATTAAGTCTGATGGGGTGCCAAACATAAAAATCAATAGCTCCAAATTAGCCATTTATTCAGATGAGTAACTTAAATCACAGATCTCATCAGAGTGCTGCTAACTGCAAGCACAGACATATATAAGCCCAAAATTATTTGCATAGCAGCACTGTATATTATGATTTTGTACAAGGGTTTTCAAACTGGGTTTGAAATCAACAGGCTGAAAAATCCTTTGTTTAGAGAACTGTACTGTAGTGTGCACTGTAATATTCAATCATTTATGAGATATTCAAATTATCCAAAACATTTTTTTTTTTCATTCATTCCAAGTGTTCTTCTGTGTCGTCATGTGGTGTAAATAAATTTAACATTCAATATTTCATTATAGGAATTGGTTAACTATAAAACAGAGTATGTAATTTCATACTGTTATTATTACATACTAATCTATATTTCTATATTTGAGTGATCTAAAAATAAAAATATACTAACCCCCAAATAAATAGTGACATATTGCTTTAATATATCACACAATGCTGCTATTTACTTTAAAATCCATTCATGAATGGTTTTATTTCTGGTCTCTTATCAGGGGGGAAGAGGTGATCACCAAGGGTAAGCACCTGCGAATGGGCTCCATGAGCATGCCGGCCCCTGTGGAACACATGTCTCCTCACCAGCACCAGCCCCCCTGTAACCCAGGTTTCACTGTTCGCTCTCAGTCCCTGCACTCTGTGGAAGGAGGGGAAGAGGAGGGCAGCCCCACATCCCGTAAGCAGCCCCCGCCCAAACCCCGGAGGGACCCCAGCACCAAGCTCAGCATCTCCTCTGAAGCTGTGGACCTCAGTCCCACCGGGAGTAAAGGCAATGACTCAGAGAGGTGTGACGGTAAGATTCTATGGTTGTTTAATCCAAGCTTCACCTTCACAATTCATGCTGCACAAAATGTTGAGATCAACTCTTTCTGTAGTTATATACTAGCTGATGTTAAATAATTGGTTAAATTGAATCCTATTGTTTCATGTAAAAGCAAACACACACACAACAATGTGGACAATTCCATAATTTTGAATGACCAAGTCATGTGAAGCCGTATCTGGAATTAGCACAAACATGACTATAGCATGTGATGTCTTTCAGATTAGGACAAAATTTGGGGCACGTTTTTACACATGCCAAGACATTATAAATCAGACAGAATTACTAGAGGCAACAGTAATAATCAAAATGTGAACATTTATTAATAAGTGAAAACACCCATGTACAAAAATATAAGACAGTATATATACAAGACAGGCTAATTAGAGCATAGTTTTCAATATTGCATACATTTAAACTCGTTTAACAAAAATATAACATTTAAAAGTAACATTTTAATTCAAGTGTATTAAACAGTTCTCTGTTATCCTTTTCAACCGAAATAGTGCCGAAATAATTCTCATACCGGTGTGTCGCTGAAATCTGATCCAGTGATGTGCAGCTGTTTTGTGGGGTAACTGCGAACCTCAGACTGCCGTCTCGCGTTTTACTCGTAGCTGAAAGATGCCATGACTGACTCTATAACCTGCCCATAAACAAACAGTATGGAGTTTTGAGAACATATTTTAACATCCAAATTAATTAGAATCAGTATTATAATGAATAAAATCAGTTTATGTTATGCAAGGCAAAGCGTTTCCATCATGCGAAACGACACATTTAGCTGACTGACATCTCGTCCTTGTATGTTGAGTTGCATAAAATAAAATCATTTACAGCACAGTAAAGATTTTATAGATGAAATAAAACTTATTCAAATATTAATTTCACTGAAGAAGTCCACCAAATCTGTGACGCTGAGAATCGCTGTCTCCTGAAGAGGATGAAAAGCCCATGCTCTGACTGTAACCCAACAGCTGAGTTAAAGTCCGTGCTGGGATGTTATATAAAATAACCCAGAGTTTTTTAGAGTGTGACTACTGTTTAATGTAAAAGCAAACACACAACAATGTGGACAATGCCATAATTTTTTATGTCCAAGTCATGTGAAGCCTTATCTGGACTGAGCACAAACAAGACCATACCATGTGATGTCTTCCAGATCAGGACAAACTATGGGGCACATTTTTACACATGCCAAGGCATTTATGCAGTTGACCCTAACTGTATCTCCCATCATTTGGGAAGATATTGTGTAGTGGTTGAAGCTGCTTACTTATAATTTGTAATTGTAATTTTGCAGGTTTTCATCCCTGAAAAAAAAGGCAAGCCATAAGCATCAACAGTGTTCCGGGGGCATCCTCATGCAGATCTCAACAAGCCTTATCAGTTTATGTATATGCAGTGATGGCTCTCTTTTATCTTTTATTTAGCTGTAGGCTACAAAAGTATTAAGTCAATTTATCTTTTTCAAGTTCTGAAGTGTGCCGTGACAGATGCTTTTTGTCGGAATTTTAAGGGATCACAGTGGGCACACAGATCTTCCTCAAAGCCACGGCAACCAACCCACAGAAACAGAGACCTCCTGCTGCTCCACCAATCCAGACATCAGACATCAGCCTCAACCAATCATCAGCGAGGTGACAGGAAGACAGAGTGTGGCAACAACCAATAAGGAATGGGCTAGCAGCCAGCTCAACAGCGCTTTAGCCAATGAGCACCAAAGAGTGGGGAATGTTACTCATTCAGAGGACAGTTGCATGTTGAACGAGAGGTTGAGGGGTGTGGGGGGAGGGACCAGCTAGCACAGAATTCATTCAGGAGGAGTGACTGACCTAGATTTAGTTCCCCTGGAGGAGAGAGGGCGAGGGTAAACAGATCTGCTCATAGGGAGGGGAAAGGCAGAGAGAGCAGGAGGAGGGGCATGTTCAGAGGTGTTGAAACAGATCCCAAGATCCACCAGACTACACTTTCACAGAATTAACAAATATTTAATCCGTTTTTTTAGGCATACGCAAAGGGATTCTCTGACTCACTGAGAGAACATGAACAATGACTTTAATCAGGCTGCAATGCAGTTTCACTCTCTTTACAAACCGACAAAGCATTTAAGGGAACATGTTCTTTGATATGATAAAAGATTATCTTTTCTCAGCACAGAAATCAGGACATTTTATAATTTTTATTCTCAGGGTGAAGTTGGAACATTAGAGTTAGTGTGTGTGTGTGTGTGTTTGTGTGTGTGTGTGTGTTTCCCAGTGTGTGTATTTCGGTAAACTGCAGCTTTTTTTATTGCATGTTGTATAAAATATATTAATGTGTATGTATATGGAGTTGGTGATATAGATGGTGATAGAGTTGGAGCAGGAGGACCACATGGTATCTGAATAATTAAAAGTTATTAAATTGTCCTGTGTACAGCGACCCAAACTCTCTGCTACTATGGTAGTATGCTAAATCATATATCTTTCTTCATGCATTTCTACTTACTCAGGAACACAAGGCTGCATTGAGGACTGCAGGAAAGTTCCCCCACCAAAGCCTAAGAGGAATCCCAACACGCAACTAAGCACTTCCTTTGATGAGTCTTACATCCACAATCATGGTTCAAAAGGTTCTCCCACCATGCTCTTCTCAAGTGATGTCCAGGCTCCTTCTCCTGCTCAGCCACAGGGCCCACAGGATTCAGACTTAGATGAACCTGTCTACATTGAGATGTCGGGGAATGTGGGACGAGAACTGATGCTCCGGTCTGAGGAAGATGAGCCGAGTGAGGCTGTCTATGAAGAGATGAAGTACCCAGGCCTTGACGAGTTTGACTTGCGTTGGGATATTTCTAGCTGTCGCTCACAGTGTGCCACACCCTGCACACCTGAGCTTGATATCCATGCCCCCCTAAGCCGTTGTACCACCCCTCGGGGCACGCCAGTTTGTGACATCCCTGCCCCATTCCCCAACCTGTTGACCCATAGGCCACCTTTACTGGTTTTCCCTCCAGTCCCAGCTCAGTGCTCGCCTAACTCGGACGAGTCCCCACTCACCCCTCTCGATGTTGCAAAGCTTCCTATGTTAGAGAACAGTTCTTATGGCAAGTCACCAACCTCATCTTCCCTGGAACCCTCTGGCTCTGCATCTACGCCACACCTAAGACGTGCCGAGAGGGAGCTAACAGCCACTCCTACAATAACAGTATCTGGGCGATCGTCGGCACCGCCACTGCCCTGTGCCCTCTATAAAAGTTCTTCCTCTTCACACGGTTATCAGCGCAGTCACTCAGCCTGCCCCTCACCTGTTAGTATGGGCCGCTGCCTGACGCCCCTCAGCCTCATCCGACCAGCTCCTTTTGATGGACCATTTGCTACAACAGGCTTTCCTCGCAGCGCCTCTGCCACACCACATGGAAAGGGATCACCACCGCAGGATGCAGGCTCAGGGGGACGGCATCATGGCTCTATGCAGAACGTCTCAGTGGCACGCTCACGGACGCCCACTAGCCCTCTGGATGAGCTCACAAACCTCTTCACCACTGGCAGGAACATGCTGAAAAAGAATACCAGCGGCAGAAAGAGCAAGGAGCCGCGAGAAAGTGAGTGCCAACTGCATATAATCATATTTAGTCACTAATTTAGTAATTGTTCACCAGTTTTAAAAACTTTAAAAAGTGCATTAGTAACAAATAGATACATGTGCAAAAGTGTAATTCAGTTTAGTGTGCAAAATCAATTTAGTAAAATTAAATAATTGCTGATTTAATTTATGTATCTTCTTGTATATTATTATTTTACTTATTAAACGCTGTTAATCATTTGAATTCTGGGTCCATTAAATCCACTTTATATTTGTAAACTTTCTAAGACTCTCTTGGACCCAACATACTCTTTGTGTTTAATCCAGAGAGATTAAAAGGCTAAAGCCTTCATTTTCCTACAGTCTCGTGCACAGCTATGTTCAAGCAGCTTTCAAAGAATCACTCAATCACAGATGAGCACGGATGGATGAGTTAAACACATGCACAGTACTATCTAGTGGACTCTTCTGTCTCAACATTCACCTTGTGTGTGCGCTGTTGTAAGGTGACCATCGTGGAATGCAGATTGCGGAAGTGTACTTTGGGCTTAAAGCGATAGACCAGTCCCAATACAGACATTTGCAGTGTTTGCACTTGACCACTTGTCTACTTACATAACGTATTTCCTTAGTTTGGCCCAAGACCATAAGTGTGTAAAACGTTTGATTACCTGGTGGCACACACTTACAACATAGTGATGTAAAAAAGTTTTTATAGAGCTCCATTTACACATTTTGATTTTCAGTGTACTAGACTATGTAACAGATGACACAATGTAATAATTGTGGTGCTTTTAATTAAGTGATAAAAAGCAGTTCCACATGTTTCACAAAATACATATGCTTGACTCACCAATAAAATGCCCAACACTTTACGTTTTAATAACAAATATATATAATATCTTTTTGATATATATATATATATATATATATATATATATATACATACATACCTACACACATACATATATATGTATATACACATATACAAACATATATACACACATATACACATATAATCAAAAACATAAATAAAATAAAACAAAACAGAATAAAACTTTTACTTATACATGTCTGAAAAGGAGTAGGAAGAAGCATAAGCTTATTTAATCCTACCCTACTACACTGCTCATTGATAATCATCAAAATCGGTTTCATAATTGTATCTTAATTACAATCTTGATACAATCAATATTAATACATTTACAAATTATTACATATACATGTATTTACACGTTTATTCCCATACACCAACACTAAATACAAAGAAAACTAAAATAATAACAGTTATAATCTTACAGTTTTTCTGAATTGCTAAAACACATTTCTTGAAACCATCACTCATTTTCTCAAAACCTTAAACACAAATCCAAATACTCAAACTAAATTCACGAAACCTCTGATTCTTCCATCAAAATCAAACAATCACTGCAAAACCATTTCACTTGCACTCAAAATCAAACAGTGCTCTCATCACACACACGAGTCAATAAAATAAAAAGAGTATTCATTAGACACTACAGAGAAAAATGGAGAACACAGCATCCAGAACATTACAGAAAAAAAGTATATTGTATTGAGTAAACAATTTTGCAATTCTGTAAAAAAGTATAGTAATTGCAACTGAGTAAGGTGAATATATTGTATA